TGCCGTTGGGGTTGTAGGGATAAGTCTCAGTAACCTCGAGTCTGTTGTCGACGTATCTGATGGGGATACCACCAGACTCGGTCAAGCTCTGGAACTGCTGCTGGCTCTGGAACTCGGCGCGGCCCTCGCCGTGAGAGACAACGATTGGAAGAGAAGAACCGTTCATGCCGTTGAAGAACACGGACGGGTTGGACGGGTTGTCCTCAATCTTGACCATGCTGTAGCGGGCTTCGAACTGGGTGGAGTTGTTCTGGACGAAGGCAGGGAAGTCTTCCGCGCCAGGAATAAGCTCCTTCAAACGGGAGAGCATCTGGCAACCGTTGCAGACACCGAGGGCGAAGGTATCCTTGCGCTGGAAGAACTCGGCGAGCTCCTTGCGGGACTTGTCGTGGAGGAGGATGGACTTGGCCCAACCTTGACCGGCGCCGAGAACGTCGCCGAAGGAGAAACCACCGCAGGCGGCGAGACCAACAAAGTCAGCGAGGGAACGGCCGTTGATGATGTCAGTCATGTGGATGTCGACGGCGTCGAAGCCAGCGGCACGGAAGGCGAAGGCCATTTCAGCGTAACCGTTGACGCCTTGCTCGCGAAGGATGGCGACGCGAGGGCTCTTGCCGAAGAATCCAGTGATCGAAGCGGTCAAGGGAACGATGTTCTCAGCGGGCGAGAAGGTCAAGTTGTAAGAGAGACCGGGGTCGGCAGAGTCAGCGATGGCAGCGTATTCAGAGTCGGCGCATGAGGGGTCATCTCTGAGCTTCTGCATCTCATAGGAGACCTTGGACCACCATTGCTGCATCTCAACTCTGTCGAGGCTAACGAAGGGGGCGCCCTCTCCGTAGCGAATGTTGAGGGTCTGCTCAGACGAGTCCTGAACAACACCAATCTTCTTGATGAGCCCAGCAGGAGGGCCACAAGTGGCGAAGCATCTCTTAAAGTTGGTCTCGTCTGAAGCACGAACCTGGAAGACGGCGCCCAACTCTTCGTGGAACAGAGCCTCAGTCATATCGCCGAGGCTGCCAGACTTGGCAACGCTATCCATCATGACATCAACACCGCAACGGCCGGCAAACATCATCTCAGCAATGGTAGTAACAAGACCGCCGTCAGAGACATCGTGGTAGGCCAGGACAATGCCGCTCTCGTGAAGCTGAGCAAGGGCGTCGAAGTAATCCTTAAGAAGATCGACGTCGCGGACATCAGGAGCCTCGTTGCCGATCGCACCAAGGGTCTGGGCAAGGGCAGAGCCACCAAGGGCCTTGTGTCCTTGAGCGAGATCAACATAAAGTAGCACAGTCTCGCCGACATCCTCGACACGGCGAAGCTCAGGAGTCCAGGTGCGGCGGACGTCTTCGACCAACGTGAAGGCAGAAATGACGACTGAGACAGGAGCAGTGACGCTCTTCTTGGTCTCTCCATCTCTCCAGCTGGTCTTCATCGAGGTCGAATCCTTGCCGACAGGAATGCTGATGCCGAGCTTAGGGCAAAGCTCCATACCGATAGCCTCAACAGCTTCGTAAAGAGCGGCACCCTCACCGGGGTGGTTGACAGCAGCCATCCAGTTGGCGGACAACTTGACGCGCTTGAGGTCGCCTCTGTATGAGCCTCCCTTGATGTCGGCAGCGCCGAGGTTGAGCAAACTCTCGGCAACGGCCATTCTGGCAGAAGCGGCGGGAGAAATCAAAGCCAGAGTTGGCTTCTCACCCATGGCCATCGCCTCACCCGTCTTCATACCGTTCAAGCCGAATGAAGTGGAAGTAACGGCGACGTCGGCAACTGGTGTCTGCCATGGGCCAACCATCTGGTCGCGCACAGTAAGACCACCAACCGTGCGATCAGCGATAGTGATGAGGAAGGACTTGGATCCAACAGAGGGCAGCCAGAATACTCTCTGGACGGCTTGCTTAAAAAGATCCGCATCGCTGGTAGCGTCGCCGAGAGCAGCCTTGAGGCTGGCGACGGGCTCAAAAACGGGCCAGGTAGGCTTCTTGGAGCTGACAATGCGCTCCAACTTCCTGCCCTTGGGGAAAAGGACGTCCATAGGAACGTCAATAGGGCGAGGATACTCCTTCGATTCCTTGTCGCTGAGGATCAGCCTAGAAACACCATCCTCCTCCTTGGACAGCACAGTTCCGACATCGGAGAACCCACAGCGTTCGCGGTCTATTGATCAGTTAGTCCAGGGCACGTAACATGTTTGAAAACGAAATCAAACTTACTGCAAATCGCGGTGAAGCGTTCCATGCCATCGCTGTTCACCAGGACGACATAACGCTCTTGGGCCTCATTACACCAGATCTGAAGAGGGCTCATTCCCCGGTCAACGCACTCAACTTGGCGAAGCTCGAATCTGCCACCAAAGCCGGCATCATTGACGAGCTCTGGCAGAGCGTTTGAAAGACCACCAGCACCAACATCGTGAATCATGGCGATGGGGTTCTGGTCTCCAAGAGCCACGCAAGTGTTGATGACCATCTGCGCACGGCGTTCCATTTCAGGGTTGCCACGCTGAACACTGTCAAAGTCGAGGTCGGCATTGCCCTCTCCCGAAGCGTTACTGGACGCGGCACCACCACCCAAACCGATCAACATGGCAGGGCCGCCAAGAACGATAACGTGGGCGCCCTCCTGAACATCCTTCGGGTCCTTGAGAGCGTGCTTCTCTCTAACAGTACCGACACCACCAGCGATCATGATAGGCTTGTGGTAGCCGCGGAACTCGCCCTCGGCCTTGGTATCGTCGGCAGTAAGAAGAGTCCTGAAAGTACCTGTCAAGCATGGGCGGCCGAATTCGTTGTTGAACCGGGCGCTGCCAATAGGCGCCTCCAACATGATGTCAAGACTGCTGGCGTAGTGGGCTGGGCGACCGACATCAATTTCCCAGGGTGCCTTGTGCTCAGGAATGTGCAGATCAGAGACCCAGAAACCGCAAAGACCAGCCTTGGGCATGGAGCCTCTGCCAACAGCACCCTCATCACGAATTTCACCACCAGATCCAGTGGCAGCACCGGGGAAGGGAGCAATGGCGGTTGGGTGGTTGTGTGTCTCAACCTTGGCCAGAACGTGAATAAGCTCCTTGTTCAGCTTCCAAGAGCCAGTAGAGTAATCAGGAGCCCAGAGATTGGCGCTCTCACCCTGCATCACAGCCGCATTGTCGCTGTAAGCGGAAACGGTGAAGTCAGGGGTGACCTTGTGGGTATTTCTGATCATGCCAAACAAGCTGTGCTCCCTGGTGATTCCATCGATAGTCCAGTTGGCATTGAACTGCTTGTGACGGCAGTGCTCCGAGTTGACCTGAGCAAACATGAAGAGCTCGACATCATGGGGTGGCCGGCCCAGCTGAGTGAACTGCTCCACCAGGTACTCGACCTCAGACTGATCCAGGGCCAGGCCGCGGGCCTTGTTGTACTCATTGAGCACCTGCACCGGATCCTGGCCTTCGGCAAAGATGTCAACAACTTCCAAGGGAGCGGGCTCGCTCTCGGCAAACATGGCATTGAGATCCGGTTCTTCGGCGGTGAGATGCTCGGTCATGCGATCATGCAGGATATCCCGAAATGGAACAGTCTTGTCGTTGTAGGGCTGGTCGAATTCGATGCTGATGATGCGTCCGCGCTCAATCCGCTGAATCTGGTTCTCGAAGCCGCACACATGGGCAATCATGGTGGCCTTGGAGCTCCATGGCGAGAGATATCGTGGTGTGACGAACCATTTGCGAGAATAGCCGATGTGAGTGAGAGGAGGAGTTGATGCGCCGGAGAGAGGGAGGAACTGAGCGAGGGTTTGCTGAGCGGCGTTGGCGTCACCGTTGATGTGGGCATAGTAGACCCAGGAGCCAGTGAGTTTAGACACCTTGATGGGCGCTATCTTGTTGATCTGGTCCTTCAGCTTCTGGGCCTCGGAGGCCGTGAAGCAGGAGTCACCTGCGAGGGTGAGGTGCGCCATCGTTTGTGTAGTTTGCGATGACGCGAAACGGAGCAAATGGCAATCGGGGGGGAAGTGACAGCTCAAATAGGGGCTAGACAACTGGCAGAGAGCCAAAGCTCACTGGGATGGATACAGAGTCATCGGGCAAGCTGTGAGTCTAGAGGCGGGGTGATGGTGGCACTGTCGAGTTTTTATGGTGGGGGTCCAGAGCAAAATCCACTTTAATTTTGCCTTTCTCCACACAATTGGCTGGTTTCTCTTATCCAGCCCCTGTATCTTCTCTTATCGCACGCATGGAGGGGCAGCACAAGTCTTAGGTGACGCTTCAGGGTCCAAGACGAGCGCGTTCACGGCTTTAATTCTCTCACGTCTCGAACACGATTTAGAATATTCCCCTGGCCTATTCTTTCGATAGCTAAATCTTCATTTTCCTATGATTATCGAGTATCTGCCGTTTTATCCTGGGGTTAGGACGCATGTGCAGCGTCGACCTTGGCAAGGATTTATCCCAGATCATGACTGTCAACTGTTCATCCTGCAGTCCCGGCGCGCGAAATCGCTCGAGCTGCATGGCTTGTCCCTGTCTACATACACTATTACTTTATCATATCCATTTATTTCGGTAAAAAGGCCGGGGTTCTGCGGGATCGGACAGCAACCTCTCTGGATATCTCTAGATTCCGCGATAGCCTCACATTCAGACTAGTATAGAAAGAGGAAGTGTCCCCGCCAACAATTATATTCGGGCACTAAACACAAAGTCCCGTTGATTTCAGTGTGGGTCCATTCTTCTCTTCACCATTTTCATTGAAAAGCCCAGTAGTGATTTGTGAAGGGCTCATAACATCCGAAAAGTTAGGCTTCAAATAAACATCAAACTGGACATCGTCAAGAAGGAGATCACCTCCTGGCTAAAACCATATACTATCTTCGGTGCGACTTCATGATGATGATGAGTATATATATCTGAAAATGGTCACTCGATCTCGAGGCCAGCGTGATCATTTAAAATCAGTTTAAAGACAAGGCTACCTACGATTCAAACGGAGAAAAGGTATAGACAAATAGCAAAACGATGGACGTACCGGGGTTTGAACCCGGGACCTTCTCAAGGAGCTATGTATCCGTAACCTTGCACCTGTTACATCATTCGAACAGTTTCAAAGCAATGGACTTATTTTGCAACTGAGACGTCGTACCACTAGACCATACGCCCTGTTTTTGATTGTTATGATGGGGAACCGACTTGCACCTTATAAGCTTGCGTTCGCGTCTGCCTGGGGAACGGGACAACCACAGGGCAACCAGGGCATGGCGAGCACCCAGGGTCTTGCCACCCTCCTTCGACTTGACCTAACTGCGGGTTGCATTCACGCCGAATGGTTTGATGGGGCTGCTCGCTGAAGCTTTCGAACTGAGAAGGTCATAATTCTCGCATTCCTACCTAGGTACTCTACGCAAAGTGTACGCACAGCTCAGGCTTTTCAAACTGCTGTCTACCTGTAGGTGCAATCGAGTTACCTGCTATTCGGCTCCTACTGAGCATCCACTTCAGCATCAATAACACTAATGAGCATTAGACGCGTTATCAACCTTACCTACACATTGGCCTCACGAGATGGCATCGATACTGAAGAAGGGTTGCCGGTCAGGTTGGTGAGAAAAATAGGCACCTCGAGTTGAGAACCAGGTAGGTCCCTAGGTACACAGTGCCGCAGAAAGAAGTCAACCATTCTCGTATCCCACCCTTCTTCCAAAATATGAGGTGCAAGCTCAAGGCCTCAGGCTTCAACCTTGGTGGATAGGATACTTTTCAAAGTATCTTTGTGAATAAAACTTAGATTAAGACATACGACAGGTGACCAAGCCTCATTTTTACTGTCTGGCGGTTATGTTAAAAACTCTAGCTGTGTTGGAAACTTAAAATCAAGCTTCTCACCACTTTCAAAACCTATAATTCATATCGTACCTGATCTCCCAAAATTCCGGGCCCAGTCTTCTCAGTCAACATTGTCTTCGTCAAACTATTGTATCTAAACTCGTCCCAGCAACGACACAGCGCAGCAACAGCAACAACACAAGCCCAGCAGCAGCAACAGCAAACCCCCAGACACAGAAAAATTAACAGCAACATATCGGTACAATGCCGTCAGCAAACGCCAACCAGTACGACCTCACGGTCGTTCCCGCGCGCTGGGCCTCCCTGCTCGAAGCCCACCAGTTTGGCGTCTGGGCGCGCGATGTTGCTGCTGAGAACGAAGTGGGACGATACGCTGCCGTCGATAAGTCTTTTCCGAGCGAGCGGACGCCGGAACACCGATACGACGAGATCCCACACTTCTCGGTTCCGATCCAGGAAGGCCGGAGTGCGATGATCACCGCGGCTCTCACGAAAAGAGTCCCATTCCTGGGACACCAGCCCGGCGACCACGTCTTCCGGCTCGCAAAGAGCCCCCAGAGCAGGACAAACTTCAAGATGTGCCTGCAGTACGAAGGCCAGATACAGCGGCCTTGCAGTCAATACTTCTGGCGGCTCACCACGGCCGTCCTACCGGCTGCTCTGGACCTCGTTGTTTCCCTGCTCGCTTTCGAGCCCACTGCCCAGCACCCGGGAGCACTTCCGTTTGAGCTTGAGCGGGTCAGATCGAAGTCGAGACGGAACCAGATCACCCAAATTGACATCGACATTCTGAAGGAGCTTTGGAACCTCAGATTTGTCGGCTTCCAGGACGAGACGACAAAGATGGTTCGCAAACTCAATCCTGCACAGCTCATCCCGGCCTGCAAGGCGTCGACAACAGCATTGGACACGTACGCCGAAGCTTCCTGGCTGATTTACAAGCTTCGACAAAACGATCCTCGGGGGTATGACAGCTGCAAGCTTGAGTGGAACTCAGTCATCCCCCTGCTCGAAGCAGCATCCGACACCTGCTTTACCCACTTGCTCAGACACCACAAGGATATAATGAAGAGGGAGGGTCTTTCAATGCTGTACGCTGCGGAGTTATCAACAAGAGCCCATGTGCTGGTATACTGTCGACCAGAGAACATCATGTTGAACCGCATCCGCGTTGGTGGAAGGGAAGCAAGGGGTGTAAGTGATAACGATAACGATAAGGGATGGCGGTGGGTCCCTACCGACCCCAAGTTCTGGACGGCAGGCAACCATTGCAGCCAATCACCAATTGAACAGGAGCTGCTGTATTGGGACCCACAGGAGCACTCAACTTTTCATCGATTTTACCGCGAGCACCACGACCCCCTCGTCAGCGATAACCACCACAACGACGTCAGGTCCGGGAAAAAGAGGTCGCTCGATACTATCTAGACTACCGACGACACCCCTCGCCAAAAGAAGCCCAAACTCACACCCCTTAGGACCCGCCATCTCCCGGTTCAGAGGCCAGCAGAGGAGGAAGAATCCGACGACTCCCAGGGTGATAGATCAACCCCAATAACGCCCAGTTCCGCGCATACTCCCTCTCGACCACCACCACCTCCACCACTACCACCGCCACTACCCCCCCCTCCCCGAATCCTCAAAGGCGTCGCCATCCCCACCAAAGGCCCCCCCAAGCAATCCGTCCGCGACAAAAGGAGCCGTCGCTCCAACCGCAAACCCACCGCCGCCCGCTTCTTGCTCGACCGATAAACACACCACCAAAATGTCACCATCCACAACCTTCCTCCCCTCCCTCCGGGCCCTCACCCGCCACCTCTTCCGCCCCTCCCCCCCATCCCTCCTCCCACAATCCCGCCCCCTCACCACCTCCGCCCCCTCCCTCGCCGTTGCCAGCAAACCCAAATCATCCCAACCAGGCAAAGGAGGCGGCGGTTCCTCCTCCAAGGACCAACCAACCCGCCGCTCCAAGCGCAAAGGCGAAGTCGCCCGCGACCCCCGCATGATCAACCTCCTCCGCCACTTCGCCATCCTCTCCCCCCAGCGCATCCCCGCCCCCCTCCGCATGGCCCGCAACCGCTACCTCCGCCACTGGACCATCCACCGCGCCTGGCTTCTCTTCCGCCGGCAGCAGCGCGAGGCCCGCGAGAAGACGTGGATGAGGCAGTACCAGTCCATGAACCGCGCCTGCGAGGAGCTCCGGCTGACGTCGGGGCCCGGGACGAGGGAGGAGGGGTATCTGTTCAGGATGGCCATGGAGAAGAAGGGCGTGTACGGGCTCAAGGGCGTGCCGATTGAGTACGCCAGGGCGCAGACCGAGACCCCGGCCAGGACGCCTTGGGATCATGAGTGGAAGAGGGATTGAGATGATTCATGTTTGATCAAGGAGGGGTTGGGCGGATAAAAGGAACCAAGGATGGAGATGGGGTTCATATACCCTCAATCCAGTCTCTTTTGTGTGTGGAAATGTTGAAGAAAGTTGAGAGAAAGAGGGGGCAAGGGGTGTATATACCCTGATGTTGGAAGAGTTGTATAAAAACACCTGTATCATCACTTAACAAAAGAACGCATTTTCATGGGCGGGGGCGTTCAAAAGAAATAAACAAGTTAAATCAATCGTTTTTTTGATCCTGATTACAAGAGAGATACCGAGTAAAATCACACAAACCATCCACCTACACCACAGGTTCATACTCTTCTTTTGCTTCTTCCCAATTTGCCGATTTTCCCCTACATAACCGACGAGGTGGAGAAGATGCGCTTCATAAAATGAACTGGAGAAAGGGCATATGGAGATGAAAACACATTACCTACGTGAGATCAGATAAGCTCGACGTGAACCACCATATTGACTGACCCCTTGTCATCACCAAGCGAAGCAATTCCAAGTCAAAAAGAAAAAGCCGGCTTCAAGACAAGCAATAAAGTAAATTAAAAATCCCAGTTTCGCTTTCCATGCAAAAACAGAAAAAAAATAAAAATATAAAACAAAGGGACAGACCCAGCCATCCATCCACCCATCCACTCTCCTGCCCCTTTCCCGTTTGATGATACCTAAAAGATGAAATACGGACAAAGAAACAGAAAAAGCCTCCCATTTCCCCTTCATTGGTGATCAAGACCCAGCTAGAGAGAGATCGAGAGAGTAAAAATGGAGAGTGAGACTGAGAGAGTGAGATAGTTATGACGAGAGAGGAAAGAAAGCAAGAAAAAGGGAAAGGTACTTCTATAACCGTTATTAATACAGAGAAACTCGCTGGCTTCTTGTTTCGTTGTTCCACACAGGACGTAAGTGGTGTATATGGATTGTTGTGCCGTATGTGGGCGGTGGTGAGAGCGCGATGGATGCTCTCGTGGTGTGATCATATCGACTGGCGGTGATGGTGATATGATGGCATGGTGTGGTGTGTGTTACCGGTGGGAAAGGCGAAGACTGATACGAAGCGAAGAACAGCCCGAAATGTATGCTGCTCTCAAGCCTCTTGTCGACCCCAATATGTCCCCTAGCTCGGTTACAAATCTGAGGAAGGGAGACCTATTCCATTCCCCTCATGCCACAGATCGCTCTTGGGGTTCCAACAAACATGTCTCGTCGTCCGATGCCTTAGTTGCTTATAGAATCACACAGCACCCGCCCCCCTCGCTCTTTTCAAACATGAGCAGCGATGCCCTGGTGGCCGCCTCGAACACATCGTCCACACCTTCGCCGGTCAAACTTGAGCACTCAAGGTACTTGCGGGCGCCGATTTCCTTAGCAGCGTGCTCGCCTTCGGATGTGGTGAGAAACTTTAGCGACTTTTTCCTCATCTCCTCAATCGCGACTGGGTCCTCGCGGAGATCCTTCTTCAGTCCCACCAGAATGATCGGCACCTCTGGACATCTTTCCTGTGCTTCTACCACCCACTGTACGACACATATCTCGGTCAGCAAACGTTTCCTCCCTTTTGTTTGCGCCTCTCCCTCCCAGACCAAGGCACAACACCACACATCCCGACTTCTTCCATGCACATTGACGAATATGGAGAGGGCTAAGAGATTGCGGCGTGGTACAAGCGTCACACCATGACGGTGACGTTGGATGCAGCCCGGAGTCTTGCAGCATGGGGGTTGGCCGAAAGAGAGAGGGGGCCATGCGAGGGAAGCATGGGGGATATGGCGGAACCCACCTTGTGTTTGACATTATCCAGGGAATCTGGTGTGTCGACCGAGAAGCCTATCAGGATGACGTGTGCTTTGGAGTATGCTAGCGGCCGTAAACGTTCGTAGTCTTCTTGACCGGCGGTATCCCAGAGGGCGAGCTGTACATTCTTGCCGTC